CCCGATCAGTCCAACATTAGCCGATACAAATCTCCAAACAGGAAGAGGTACAAAAAAATATGCACTTATGGAGAATATGTGATTGTGATGATGACCATAAGAATTGACATATCATTGAATTTCATTCTCCGTATAGTATACATTCTACACATTATAATCATATCTAATTTCATCATTTGTTTTTTCAATAAAAACCTATCTATTAGGTTTATAGATGCTCCACCTACTCATTAACCCACCCACGCTCTTTCAATTTCCTCCTCTACCGATTTTCGTCGGAAATAATTGAGATTCCGCGTAGGCTCCTAAGTTTTCGTTAAGAGCGGGGGATTGAAAATTTCCTTCCGAAGGATAAAAAATTATGGTAAAATCCGCGGCGAGCATCTGGCTAGGACCAGGTCTGAGTTTTCCGTGGCCACGGGAACAGATTAAGCTTTAGCCCAGAGATTTATGGGCGAGCGTGTAACGAGCAAGTTTTTCATGCGATGCGGCCGGTACCGCGGCAACCCGTGGCCCGCGGGGTGGGATTAGCATAAGATCCAACAGCTGCGGGCCTTGCGACCAGTTACACCGAACCCCCTGCCCCTAAATGGGACTATGATGTCCGTGAGATTGTGATGCAACATGGAAATGTGAGACTAAAATTAGCGGCCAAGCTGGAACATTGTAATCGCGGTTATAATTCCATGGAAAGATAACAGATCTTATCTGTCTATCGACAAATGTGATCAATAACTATTTATATAGCTAGAATTCTTACAAAGCCACATTTGCGAATCGAAATGTCGGTTTTCGAAAAAATTAATTAATAGGGAAATAATTATGTGCTTAGCTTGGAAATTATTATTATTATATATTATTAGAAATATTAGAAGTAAATAATGAATATGTTAAAATTTAAGAATTTCATTATGAGCAATTTATTCTTCTTCAACTCCTACATACGTACATATGTATACGTCTAGCATTAATCTCAAATCTTCCTGGAATCTGTATCGGGAAGTCAACAGCAAGCTACTCAGTTACCGATTACCCAAGAACGAAATCGCCTCCGATTTCCCTCGCCCCAGTGAGATATTTAGAGTCTGTCTGATCCATTTCCCGAGGCGATGGATCAGGAAAAGAGGAAAACCCGTGATCGGATTAGGAGAGCCTGGATAAGTAAGAACCTCCGGCTCAATAAAAACACCGACACTGGTAAGAATAAACAAAAAGAGAAAACACGAGTATCGAAGCTAGCGAACGGGGAGGGGGTGATACTTAATTGAATACTCGGTAGCAGGATTGATGCCTGGTGTCAGTAGCCGTGTACAGAGGCATCGGTGTAATAGACGCATTACCGATGCCTTTACGGGCAATTATGCTAAGGCCGAAAGCCGCGGTACCCTCGCCTCGCTGCCAGTCACGCCTGGATACACTAACGCTCAAAAGTTTCAATACTCGCGACTATTCTCTACCGATTCACTACAATCGAATTACAAAATACTTGATTCCACTTCGTCTCCAAAGTAATTATCACGTGTAACATAAACGTAAAGAAAAAGGTTCTAGATGATAGCAAGTGAGCAGCAAATTTTCAATCAGATTAGTCAGAGCTTTAAATTTGGTTTAATGATTATTGGATTAGATTAGATTAGATTAGAGCACAAATTTATTTTACGAATTATCCAAACGTTTCTTCTTTTCGAATAATTTTCAATCATATTGTTTAAGATAAGAACACATTCTAAATTGTAATTAACATTGTCAATGAGATTGGGCAAGCGACACACCATAGTAGAACATTTTTGGAGCAAAACTTTTGAGCGGCAGTGTAAGTACACTGGTTGCGTAAGCCTAGGCGCGACCGGATAGGCTGCCGGGCGCGATGATGATGATGGCTCGCGACCATAAGCCCGGCTCTCTGGCAATCGGCACGAAACGCTCTCGCTTGGCGAGAGATACACCGGATGATTGCCAGCTCGAACCCCGGTGTCCCGCCCTCGAGAGAGCCACTTTCTTCTCCTTTTCTCCATGGCGGTGTTCTATGCTGCGGGTACGGCGTAATCATAAGGAGCCGCGGATCACCGGATCGAGCGCGTAACGCGCGCTCACCGGTTGCTTCCCTTGAATACGAGATCGCGAGTTTCGTTGCGGGCGGAACGCCCATTCCATGCGCAAGAGGGTTTTTAGAAAAAAACAGTCGCGAGAAGCTTACTCGAGAATCTTTATGAAAATAGTATGGATTCAAAAAATGAAATATCTTCTGTCCTTTAATTTATCGAAGTTTCTCATAGATGCATAAAATTCGTAGTCCGTTTTGTTGGTTTGTTAGTTTGTTTTTTCTCTCTCCGAATTAATAATCTTCGTATAAATACTTAAAGCTAGAGTCATACAGATAAGATAAAGCCTACAGCTTTGTAACTACAGAATATGTACACCCTCCGCATAGATATGATTCCATTATAAAATTATATTTATATCTGTTTAATCTTTGCATTGTCTTCCTCGGTGCGACATTCTTACTTCTTATTCTTATTATTCAACAAAAAAGTGATCCATACACATAATCATTCGACAATACCAGAAATCCTTCCTCTTATCCAGTTCTCCGGCCATACCTTCGAATCCTCCGTGGTACTCGAAGCTGGCAAAGGGTTGGGTAGCCATCGAAGGGTCGGGGAAGCGAGCAGAGGAACGGCAGCAGCGAGAATAAAGTGGAGTAGACCGGAATAGAGTACAAGGTGTATGCCTAGAAGGTATAGAGAGAAAATGGTAGCCAATGGCGTTGGCTCGGCGTCGTTGCTACAGTATTGAACGTCTCCTACGTGGGGTCCAGAACCTCTCTCTCTCTCACTCTCTCTCTTTCGGTTCACTGCCGTTCCTCTCTCCAACCCCTCTCCCGGCCTCTCAAGCTCCGTTTCCTCTTGGTCCTCCTCCTCATCCTCCAGCTCTTTCTCCTGCCGCTGCAGCGTCACTCGCGCACGTACACTCCCGTCTGCAATTCACTGGACACTTGACACAAAGGAGTTTAGAACCAGGAAAAACTTGTGGGTTTACGCAAGAATGAGCCAGCAATCGCCAATATTATTCTCTTGTATTATGTATTATAAATAACGGTAGAATGTTCTGCAGAAGATTTCAAATCCTATAATTCACAGCAGAATTGAGATTTGATCACGTACAGGACACAATTTTTCTTTACTTTCTACATTCAATTGCTTTTTCTTAAAAAAAATCATTTTCATGAGGTCGTAACTATTTTGATTAAAATAATAGTAAAATGGCTTGGTCCAATGCAAGTGTCCCATAATTTATGAAGCTGAATGTACCCGTAGAGAGGAATCGGTTTCTCTCCTTCTGTTGGGGCTCCGTCCTTCTCTCTGACGGCTTCTCGTGACCCGACGACGTCCTCTCCCTCCACGAACGTGGTCCCAGGGTGGAGACTCTCCCTCCGAGCGCCTCCTCGCTCCTCTTCGACCCGGCGACGGTCCACCACGATGGGGTGGAGGTGGCAGGCAATCGCCTCATCCTCTTCCATCTTCGCTCTGAGGAGAGTCCGCTGCCGTGATCCGAGCCTCCGGCCGGTCTCTCTATCCTCTCATTAATATCCGGAGACATGGCCAACAGCTCCACGATCGGTGGTGAACTCCTGATTGGCTGCACCGAACCGCGACATCTCGAAGTTGCGAAGGATGGATACGAATAATCTGTCAGGAAATCATCCAGGCTCCATCCAGGAAATCTGTGTGTAAAAAAATCTTTCGTATCCAGGAAAAAATGCAACCGAAGCGAAAATATTAATCTGATAGAGTAAACTTCTTCGTTAGCGTTTTAAAGCGTTTGTAGTGTGCATATTCTATCTAGCAATTTCTGTATAGGTAGCAATACATATGTATGTATAATCCATCAATGAAATTGGCGCATAGATTGAGCCCATGAAATTACAAGAATTGTATTTATAAGAATATTTGTAATTTATACTTTCTGATGAAGAATAATACTTCTGCAATGTCTCCGTGAGTGGAAATGATGTTTAGTATAAGCTATTCATATTGTAGTATTCAACTTCTTGCACTTGCGAATGCAAATATGTACCGGTTCACGTTTTCTTCAGGCAGCTCGAAGCAAGTGCGCCTATCCCCGATGGCTGAAGGTTAATTTCTACGTTTTGGAGCTGCGTGGCGCCAGATCCGCAACGTGATTCGATAATTGCTGTAATCTCGGGCCAGAACCTTTCCTTATTCCGGCCATATGACGTTCGGCCCGAGCGCAGCCCGAAGCTAAGTTTCCAACCATCGACTGTAAAACTTTCTACCGGACCCCCTCTTCATTTGAAGATCTATATTCGAAAATCAAAAAACGGTGTCTTAAAATTGATCGGCTAATTTCCTCACGGCTGCCTTTTTATACTAATTGAAGAAAGTCTGAATTAAAAACACCGCAATCGATTGTTGATAGGAATGTTTCAATCTTAATTTTGATCTCAATGCAATACTAGAAATCGCCTTGATCCCTTTTTTCCATCGTTTTTCGAAGTCGCCTCCATGGCTTCTGGGGGATAAACACAGTAGGAAGGGGAAGGGATAATCTGTTCCAGTAATGTGAATTATCCAGAGGATTCCACCGCTAAAAAGTTTGCCGACCGGTGCCAGTAACGTTCGAGCCACGGGTTAATGCATCGAGCCGACTTTGCGGAACGTGGAATTGCATTCCGTCGAAGTGAGCACCGGAGTTAAATAAAATAGCTGCACCGGAAACTTTCTCGCTGCAGCATCCCATTATTGGCGGTCGACCGGAAGCGCGTGTCTTATTGAAACGAGAAGGGCCGCGAGATCGATCAATGATAGTGATCCCTTCCCAATTGATATTGATCATTCAGAATAAGAATGTATTCGTTGCTCCTCACACGTATGAAACAATCGCATCTAATTCATAATTATTACTTACTTATAATGAGAATTGATAGAATGGTAACTATGATAATTAGCAACGTTCGATACGAATATTGATACACATTCTCGGATTTATTCGTTAATTTTTATTATAAAAATTCAGTTATTAATAACATACGAAACATAGAGTTTACACGTCTGTCTTCATTTTTTAATAAGTCAACGATAGTATACTTTTTAATATCAGAACTTTAGTTGTAACTGAACATCTCAAACATCTGCCTGTAACATTGCTAACATATTTAGATAGTATTTTAGTTAGATAATGTAGCACAGTTAATGAGTGTAAGTCTTACTAATAAATATCGGCTACAATAATATGAGAAGCATAGGTACGGAGAATAGAAATATGCATTGTTATGTTCATACTGAAAGTTATACTGTTTCATCCAATACCATGTACAACGACACTTAAAATAATCAGAGGATCGCATCGTCTAAAAACTTAATTTTATCCGTTTAGTTACAAAACAATGACAATGACGATCCTCTAATTCTTTTGAGCAGTAATTACCTAACTACTACCTTCATAAGCAATAACGTGTGTAAAAAATTTATAGAGTATCAAAGTTAATTAAAATCTACTACATAATTGATTCCAAGCGCTACTTATTTTCCATTCCTCTAACGTCTAATAACAATACATATAATAGTAGTAGTAGTAGTAGTAACTTTTGATATAACCACTTTAAGTGTCATTTAAGATTTATAAAAAACAGAGGATACCTGAACGCTTTGTACACTTACGAATATATAGATTCGTTTAAATAATATTAATATAAAAATGAAATCCTTACATTTATTGAAAATAAAGTCCTTACTACATCCCGTTTCATGAAATATTATTATTTTTCTTCTTTCTGGTCTTACCCTATCGCTACTTATTTATCACATTTTTAAACTTTTTTTAATCATTTTTTTCGTATGCGCGATAATGAATATACAATTCCTAAGATTAACTTTGTACAAACTAATCGTCGATATCGATGACGATTGAATTATCTACAGTAGTATTTAAGTCTTTTTCGGACTTATCATCCATTTTCGGTAAGCTCGATTCAGATTTCATCGTTACATCATCTTTGTTTTCTTCTGTATTTTTAGGCGACATTTTTTGGTCTTCACTGTGCGTTTCTTCTTTACCTGCGACGATACCAAGTCTATCTTCATTTTCTTTATTACTCTCCTTCTCATCATTAACTTCACTGCTCTCGTGGCGCTCTGGAGTCTCACTATCCAAATGATTTTCTACCTTCTTTTCTTTCTCATGTGTATCCATATTCTTCAATAGTACCTCTTTTATCGTTCCAGGTATCGGTTCACCCCTCGGTACGGAAATCAGCGACACTCTTTTCGGAGGTTTCGACGGAGCAGGTTTAATGCTCAATTGCTTCTTCATCTCCTCCTGGCTGATCTTCTTCGTAAACTGAGTGATCAAAGGTGGTTTTTTCTCCTTGTCTTTCTCTTCTTTATCGATTTTCTCAGGAGCCTCAACGAGTTCGCTTTTCCTTTTTGGGACTGAATTATACGACCAGCGATTCGGAATCGGAAGATCTTCGTCCACATATTTTTTTCTAATATCTTCAGGAACGTACCAACACTTCTTCTGATACAGAGGTCCTTTCTCCGGACACGAGCACCATATTGCGATATCGCGAATCTGCTGATTCAAACCATTCTTTGATATCCGATACTCGCTCGCTTTCTCCTGTTTGCTCCAGTAGGTGAGGAATTCCTTCACGAGGAACTGTGACCCGTATGTGTTACCATGCACTAACCGGATCAGATCCGGCAAAGCGACTTCCGGAGCTCGTTTTTTCTTTGAACTCGACGGTGTTTGATGCGTGGGCGTGCTGCGTTCATTTGTTGATGCCGCCTCGTTTTCCGAGACAGTGGGCAGTGTCACCGGTATCTGATGTACCCAGGCTTCGTGAGCTGACATGAGGTCCACCGTCCTTTGGGGCACTGTAAACATCAAAATAAAGAATAATTAGGGACTGTATTAAATATATAATTAGAAACTGTAACAAATGAAATATAATTGCTATAAATAAGAAATTGCTACTAGACCTAAAATAGTTTACGTTAGTACTCACAATTCAGAGGAAGTTTGTTGTCAGACCCTCTCCAAATACAGCCAATTATTTTTGGTTTCAATTTACACGTTTTCGAATTTCTCTCCAACTCGAACTGTTCTCCGAGTACTTTCAACTTAAACTTCTGTGTCTCGGGAGACTGTAAAAAGAAAAAACAAGAATAACGTTAAATAATAATGGAGATGATCATGGCAACACATATGTATACGTATGTATGTATTTTATTATTGTTTGTTATAAAAATCACTGCTCACCATGTCCTCCTTATCTTCCTCGTCAGCTCGAAGCTCTTCATCCGACAGATACCTGAATTATCAAATAAAGAACGATCAATATAAATGACATTATTTAAAAAGTGTATCCACTAAAATCATTAACTTACCCGTGAGGAACCATAAATTCATTGTCCACGTCGTACTCATTCTCATCTGGATTTTCTTCGTCTTTCTCATCATCAGAACCACGTAAAGATTCTCCTGGCTCTTCTTCCTCCCACTCTTCATCCGAATCCACTTCATAGTTGAACCATTCCTAAAATAAAATAAGTTCACTAATTTTCATTACACTCTGAAAAGCTTAGCATACACGAGACTTATACACGTATAGAAAACTTTTGTGTAAAAGACTGCATAGAATCAATAAAGATACACAAGACAGATAATACAAACCACATGTTACTGAAATATTAAAATGAAAACGTCTACACTTTTTAAATATGCATACAAAATGTAATTTTACATAAAAATCTGCTATCTATTCATGATGACTATTCAAGAAGACGATTATTCTGAATTTTTTGCCAAGTGTTGTTTTCTATATTTTGCTTGCGACTCGCAAGAATGTTATCGTTCGATGTCGCTATTTATTTTAGTTGCGATCACGGCCACTCGATTTCACCGGAGTCTAAAGTGTGATTAAGCAGGACGTCGGTATCAATGCGACTTCCTTGACGAGCGATATCGTCGTCAACGCACATGATCTCCTTTTCTCTTCCCTTAATATTAGTCGCTCAGCGATACTCGGCAACGATGCGAACGCGTTTACGCTCAGCCCTTGTTTTCAGTAATTAGTATACCCATCAAATGAGAAAATAAGAGAATGTGAATTTTGAGTTTGATATTCTATGTTCAAGTACTGTTTCGAGGGACAGGACATTCTCTGAAAGTGAAGTAATTATACTATTTCCGGCCTCGGTAACAAAAACGAGTGGAACAAGTGTCTCATTAAAAGCTATATTAATTTGAGGTATAAGGAAATGGGAAAAATATAATGTGTACACAGAATTATTCGGTTTTGACGTTAGTGTGTGAGCGGTTATTGCATCTGCATAGTAAAACTCGGTAAACCGCGTCTTACGCGAAAATTATAAAGTCAAAAACTAATTTTACAAAATTGAAACGGATTATTATCGATGACAGACAAATAATTGGAATTGATCAATGCAACTTGGTAGCTTATATTAGTAGCTATTTATACCTGATTATTTAAAGGAGTGTAAAATATGGAATCAATTAACGGTTACATCCTCCACTAAGAGAACACAAAGACATATTCCAATATTGAATTGCGATTAATTTTGAATTCGAAAATTTCATTCGGAGCAATCGGTCAGTAGGTTCGAGTGGGCATAAACAAGTATAAATAAGATTTCGCAAAGTGTAATTCTCATCTATCGAGGTACGACAAAACGAGCCCATCTAACGTCCTACGATCGTGCACCGAAAAGTCAATAAATCGTCAAGTTTTCTTGTTTTGCGGCGCGAGACGCGGTCCAAGCGCGTTCGATAAATCAACGTCGATTTGATACCCGCGCGAGCATCAATTACGGGACCTTCCCTTTGACATTAATTTATTAGTGGCGGGAAACGAAATATCGCGAATGATCGTTGGTCCAGCCTGGCCGCGGTCCTCGCCGTTCAATTCGTAACGTGGAAAATCGACGGGAAAAGAGAAGGGAAGAAGATAGAGGTACAGGGGTAACCACCAGTTGAGCAGCTTTCGGCAGCGTGACAAACGTGAGTTCTCACTGTATCTTCTACTAATAATTCAACTCTTATTGGCAGGCAACGGGCTTGATGAATTTATAAGAGAATTGATTTAACTTGTTGTAATAAAAATACAATTTAACAAATGGCCTTTGATTTCAAACGATAATTATTATTGACTCATCCTCTATATGGAAGACGTAGTTGTTTCTACTTGGAATAGTGTTATCAATTTTTCCTCTAGAATATTGTTAATATGGGATAGAATTTATAGTTCACTTTCTAATTCATTATCTATTTGCACACACGATTGTAACTCTTTTCATGGTGGTGTCTGTCCAATTGAACAGTAAACTGAATTCATATAAATTCACTAATTATCCATATACAATGCAATATAATCATATTCATTGCCTTGTAGTCAAAATACGTCTGTTTAAACAGTAAGTAGTAGGAATAATGATAATCAATATAAAACTTAAATCCACTTGCATATACTCAACAAAATTAGTTCGCTAATTTTTCCCTAAATTGATAGAAAATAATCTTGCAATGTGCACATGACACTCTGAAAGATCGTCGGCGTTGACAGAGCACTTGACGTTTTTTCTGCTGGCACGCCACGAGCAACTCATTTCTGGTACCAACGATCGTGTTTGGTATCGTGAAGCACCATTTAAGAGGCGATAAAACATATCTCGAAAAATTATGTCCGGCTACCTCTGCACTGTTCGTCTTCACGCATTTACGAGATTGTTCGACGCTGCAGGCAGCGATTGGTGTCGGGGAACTTGAAACAGACGCGTCCTTTCGGTGCATCATCGAATGCCTATCGCATGCACGTGAAATTAAGTACCTCGTAGAAATCGTTTGTACGTTTATCATTTTTCTCATACTTACAGATTATTTGTTATATTTTCACTTATGCACATTTAACGTTATTTATTATTGGCATTTCAATAATATCTTAAACAAATGTAATAACAGAACTCATTAACTTAACTCTGTGCAATTGAACGGGAATACAAAATGAAAGAGCAATCTCAATCAATAATCAATCAATATATTTTAGATTTCAAATTCATAAAAAAATAATCTAATCGATTTCCATCTGGAAAGCGAAGGCGACGTCTGGAAAAATTAAGCCTGGTAGAAGTGAAGTCAGATTTACAGCATGTCACCCGGCCATCTGTAATGGCTTTTATGTTCCATTAAGATTATCATCCTCGTTACAAACATCCTACGTATTGATTTAGATAGTCACTATTTGAAATTGAAATTGGCTCTTTCTACGAAGGTTGAAAAATCGATCGTTCACCTCGCGGTCCGATAAAAACTTAACGGGCTACGTTCCGCGTGCGAAAACGCAGCAAAAAGAGGATCGGCTCTGCAAGCGAAAACGGCAAAAATATCGACTCGGCTTGTGATCTTTCAGCTGAACAAGTGCAAATTGAATAGCCGAGTGCTTTTTTTGATCTTCTTATCGTTGCGCGGTAACGCAAGCACGGCATTGCAATTAATAAATCGTTCTGAGAGCGTAGATAGACAGAGACCGAGGGAGAGGACGGATGATTTTTCGACGTTTCAATTAAACGGCCGGGAAACGTTTAATCGGCCGTAACGACGCTTCACAAATGCGTCATTAGATAAGCGTCGATGCGATATCGCTGTTTCATGGAAAACGATGAAAAAAAGTGTAGAGTTGACTCTTCTTTTTCTATGAACTAAATTATAGATATTCGAGTTGTATATCATTATTTGCCTGGTGTACGTGAACTCATTTTTTCTTCAAAACTCCTACTTAAATTGTTGTATCACATTCTGTCCCATTGTTTTAATCAATTTAATTTATACTTCAAATCTAACTCAAAAGTTGATGAAATGAAAACGATTGTACAAATAGTACAATGATTTAATAATACGAGTAGGACAGAAATCATTTAAATTCGATGTCTAATGTTTTATAGGAATTAATTATATTTGAGCAAACGTCATAAGTATTATGTACTGCGAAGTGCGATAAATTGCTGTTTTAGAATCAGACATATGTTGATTCATTTTTCTATATTGGTAAAATAAAACTTCGTTAAAATTGTAACAAAATTCTATTGCATTTACAACGAATCGTAATTCGGGAATCTCTAACGTAAGAGATTTCCAAATGTGTAACAAACGTTTGCGTAAAGACATAATCGAACCGATAAAAAATATCGATGGATCGATGTCGATGAGTGGTGGTCTGTTTTCCATAAACGATATCGCCGAGCTCCGTGTCTTTTTATACTCCAACGAAACATTATCCAATTGATATTCGACTGATATTCAGTAATTTTTTAAAATTCGTGGACAGGTAAAATCGTACAAAGAGTTTGAAAACACAATAAGTGTTATATGAAATAAAAGGAGGAATGAATCCTAAATTACATATCTAGGTAACAGATCTATTTGTAGACTTTTAACAAGAAAATAAAGAAACGAGGAACGAAGCAAACAAAGATTAATCAATAATAAGAAGGTGAAGCGCAAGGTCAAGACGTTGCACTTCTCTCAGTTACACGGTGTTCTTGACACTTGGATTGTATGCAAAATACGAACACTGTATCTAAGGTCAGCTTCGTTCGACACGGATAAAACCTACTATGTAAGAGGCAAAAAAAACGATGCACAAGCTAGTGGTAATGCCTTCGCGCCGCGTTATCAGTATCGGTAGCTGCTTCTTTCGTTAAGTTCTAGGTCAAAACCGTTGCACTTATTATAAATAGATACATTTGTTTCTTTGCCAGTCATTCTCTTCCTTAAATTAGTTTATCTTATAAGTAGATTGCGTACTTTTTAACGAACATTGCAAAATAATACTTTTGCAATGTTCATCAAAATAATACTTTTGCAACGTTCATTTAAAAAGCCAAATATAGATAGAACTTTATTTTATTTTCCTATTCTACGTATCTACGTATTTTATAAAAAAATAAATGTTTTACATGTTTTTATACATTATACGTAATCGATATTTTCTGCAGATTTTTCCTTACTATTCTCTTCTTAAATATGAATTCTTTGGAAAACTACATGTTCTCAAGATAAGTATTTCTCACTTATCAAAAGAATATTGTAAATGCATAAAATCTGCTGTTTACAAAAAATGCAATAGCATATAAAATAATGTTCTTCAATAAACAGTAACACTGTTGATAGTCACAGCTGTTATGAAGCTTTGAGAAATGTGCATTGTTCGAGAATCATTAGTAGAAAAAAAGTATGATCCACGTGGCAAAGTTTTTAGACAGGCACCATTCGTTAAGAAAAAAGGGTAAAGTTGCGGGAGTAAAGTATTGGCCAAGGGGCCACGTGGTCAGACAGAAGTTTGGTAAATACGGGGGCCGAGATTCTCCCTCGGAAGACGTCGCAGAAACATCGGCTCGTGGCCAATTATCGAGGTAAGCAATTAGTCAGGAAGCCGTTTTGCTGGCGCGTCTGCCGACGACGCGATGTTCTGGGATCGGCGCGCAGCAATCCCTGGGGAGAATCACGGCGACGGGACCGGGTGGCACAGCCTCGATTATCTCGAACCGCGTGTGACAAGTAACACCACGAGACCACGCCGTGGTCTCTTCTCGAATCGGGATCAGCTGCGGCCAGTATCCACGCGTCCCTCGAACCGTTCGAGAGGGTAAATTCCGCGTGAACAGGAGACGTTCTGGTTCGACCCTTCTCCAGTCCGATTAAGACAGTTGTATTAAGTTTAGAAGAAACAAATCATTCAGGTCAATTTTAGAAGGGAACAGTAATAAAAATAAATTGCAATATTTAATGAATATGTCCTATCAGCTATTATTTGTTATAATTGATAGAATACAGATTAAGAGTTGGCGGTTGAAGTAGAGGAAGTACAAGAGGGGAAAGTGTATGTCAATTCCTCTCCGATAGTCGGGTGGTATCCAACCTTGGAGTGTTTATAACAGTAACAGTGCTAATAGGAAATGATAGTGTAACGGACATAGAAACAGTGACTGATTATTTATTAAGCGCAAGTATAAACGGATAGTATCGCGAGATACGCGCTTGTTTGAAAATTCAGTTTCAACAGCTAATTGCAAAAAACAAGATGATAGAGGATGGTGCGATGTTTGACGTGAGTAGAAATTCACGATAGCACTTGCGAAGACATAATCATTTTATAAAAAGTTAGAATATGTATTGGTCAAATTTCATAACACAATATTTATTGCAAATCAGATCCTTTGATTGTCATTTAACGTGATCTCAATAACTGTACCAGAAATGTACGCTAAAACAAAACTAATAAAAATCCATTTGTCACTTATTGTATTACAATTCCCTCCTCTTTTTACAGTGATAACTTTAAATAAAATCGACAGATACACAGTTTATTGTCGATACTGTTGTTATCAGACTAATAAATTTAACACGAACACGGCTTATACAACAATAAAAATAATTGAATGTCAATTACCAGATGAATGAATATAACACATAACTCGTGAATCTTATGATTCATGAGAACGAACAATTATTTTTAGCCACAATTTCATTTGAATATTTTCCTTATTTTTAACACAGATGACGGACGAGCTCTTATTTTCTGCACTGGGTTTGACAACGGACACTGGTGTCGAAAGGCAGCAACTGTTCACCAATAACGCAACCACCTTAGCCTACGACTACGAAGCGTCCTCTTCTTGCGGAACAACGCCGCGCAGCGACGACTCCGAAATTGTCGATGCTCACTCAAGTAATCTCAGCAACATCGAGTGTTACACGGATTTGACTTGCCCGAGGAAAACTTGGAACGAATGGCCTGATATCACACCGGTATCATTGTCAGGTAGAGTGGCACCCATAGTGGGAATGATTTGCTCGAACAAGTAACGTTTATTGCGAACGAGGAACAGAGCACATTATTCAGATACCGTGTTTTTTCATCAGGCTTATCGATTAGATTCTGTATTTTATTTGCATACTGTAGTTTCGTAATCACAGTCTTTTTTGATAAGAAGAATGATTCCTGAATTAATCGGCGTGTGAATGTTGAAATATAACTGGGATCAATACTGAATGTAAATAATAATTAATGTCATAAACAAATATAAATAATTAAGTAAATAAATAAATAAATAAATGAGCAAATGTAAATAATGTCTAAAAGCCATACTGAGTAAAGAATACATGTTTCACATCAGGTACAGGGTGCATGGGCGAATTTAGCGAATTGAGTGAACTTAGCGAGTTGAGCGAACTAGACTCGGAACTCGAATGGTGTTTAGACAAAGGCTGGAATTCTGGACTTCCGGAGAGGACACCGTTGTGTACCGCCGGTTGTGAGGGCTTTCTGCATTTACCATTACCAAATCCGCAGCAAATGCTACCACGAGAAGAACCATTATGGGTGCTTGGGATAGATTTGAGGGCGCTCGACGCTACTTTGGAAACGAACGGAATAGGTAAGTTACAAGCACTTCTAAATTGTTATAACAGATAGAGTTCAGATTTTCGATGAATGAAAATCAGGTGGTAAGTGCATCTATTTTGTTAATAGTAATAAATGATTCTTTGTTTCAAGACTATAACAATAACCAGGTAGAAGAGAATATTTCTTCAGCAGCTGCCGCTGCCTTAGCGACTCATGACTACACTAATCGCAGCTTGGCGAACGCGGCGGAAGATCGATGCTTCCCTTGTACCTATCAAGGATGCTTGAAGGTATCCTTCAATTTTTTCCAGCCAATTTCTTGTAATAACCAATTTCACCATTCCCTAAATTTCAATTATTGACCATTTGAATATTCTAATAAGACATTTGTAAACTAGATTCGGTTTTTTTATTTTTTTAGGTGTACGCAAAAGCGTCTCATCTGAAAGCTCATTTACGTCGACATACCGGCGAGAAACCGTTCGCGTGTACATGGTCCGGCTGCGGATGGCGTTTCAGCCGATCCGACGAGCTAGCCAGGCATCGGCGATCGCATTCGGGAGTGAAACCGTATCCCTGCGAAATGTGCTCGAAAAGATTCGCTCGAAGCGATCACTTGGCCAAGCATCGCAAAGTACATAGAAAGAACGCGTATCCTTTGTTCCACGGAGGCAGAGGATTGCGCGGAGGGAAGATTAATATCCTACCAGCGGAGAGTTAGCTAATTTCTATTGCGTAAAATAAAAAAATATACCTTCGATTATCAAGCCAACGCATGAGAATTACGATGTCGATAAAAGAGATTAAGTAAGATTACTATTGTAGTCTTTTTTAAATGGTTCGATCAGTTGACCCAGATTAAGCGAGATTTTTAACATGATAATAAAAATTGTTGAAAATGTGATTAATTCTTTGTTAATTATTTATCTGTTTTACCTCTCCGATTGTCACATTCTGTATGCGATTTTATACGGCATATTCTTGTCAATTATATGTATGTATTGTTTTATCCGAAACAAATTATTAATCTTATCGTTAGACTCACCGTATCCTTTGAGAATGGCTTCCGAGGATTAACGCACCGGCTGCGTTTTCTCCATGTGCCCCAATAAGGTGGTCGCTGGTTTTCGGAAAACTGCAACAATTTAACCCGCTGCTTCTCGACGACGATGTTCTGATTTACGATATTGGCACTACCATCGTTCTCTTCATCTGCAGGTAGATTAATTTACATATATGTAAATATGTATTTCTAATAAAACCAATGAATATTGAACGTGTAAAAGTCCGATAATTACCTAACAAAATAACGTCGTCTTTTGCTTCAAATGGCCAAGTTTTCGGCGAGGTGCGGGGAACAACTTTTTTGTTTTTTATCTCGGAAAGATACAAGTCTGATATTTGAGTATTTTTTTCATTACACTTTTTCTCCAACGATGATTTCTCTTGTTCGTTTAAGGTTCTTCTACACACTGGGGCTAACTTCATGTCTGCCTTCACTTCAAAAGGCATGAAAGTTCTCGATTCGGTTGCGTTCTCCTCCTCGGATTTCTCAGACTTCTCCTGTTTCTTGGGGACGAAGAAACTCGTGAAGTTCGACGCCGCCTTTTGCTTTTTACGTTCCACTTCCAGCTTTTCCTCTTCTCTTTTTCTCTTTTCCTCTTCTCTAGCTTCATCTCGTTTGCGTCTTTCCTCCTCCTTCGCTTGCTTCTCTTTCTGCTTTTGCCTGCAAATCAATTCGGATTATGAAATATTGAAATGACAAATTTAAGAATATTGCCATTTTTGTAGATGAGAACTAGTAAGCATGTGTACATACTCAATTTCCATTTGTCTCTTTTGCTCTTTTATTTTTTTCTCCATAATTTTCTCTTCTTTCATTCGCTGTCGATTTTGTCGTTCCTCCTCCAGTCGTTTTTCTTTCTCCTATTACATACATCAGACGTAGCATTAAAAAAAAAAAAGAAAAAAGTACAATACTGTATTACTATAAAATTTACCATTTTTTGCTTTTGCCTTTCTTCCTTCCTTTTAGCACGTAGTAGTAACTTTTCTTTTTGTTTCGGTGTTAACTTCTTCTGTTGTTTATTATCAGTTTTGGGAGTTACAGCAATCTGTGCACTTTCAGTTATACTTTTTTCTACATTTGCAGTCGATGTCTTTTGCTCATTCTTGTCCTCATCGTCGGAAGATAAAATAGCTATATCAGAATCAGATTGACACAAAGAATCATTCTGAAGTGAAGACATGTCTTTTTCCTCAATGTTCAAATTTTCAGATTGTTCAACTGATTCATCTTTGCTTTCGTCTAATGAATGTTTCTGCTCCTTCAAATTACTTTCTTGTTTATCAGATTTTTGGAAAAACTTTGTTAAAGGGCTTAACTTCACTATCGGCTCCATACTTAGCTTATGCTTAGTTGAATTCCGTTTAGGAGTTACATTTATATTTTCTGTTTCTACCTTATTAGATACTGTGTTTTCTTTGATATTTTCAATTTCTGTTACTATTTCTATAGAATCTTCCTTTTTTTCATCTTCATTCGATTTATCAGGTTCATTGTTTACATCTTTACTTGAGTTCTTTTTTAAGATTTTCACTGGCTTTCGACTTTTATTATCTACAGAAGGTGATGTCAGCTTTCTCTTTTTATTTTGTACCTTTGGAGATGCCACTGGACTTTGAATTTGGAATGGCAATTGTGCTAAAAAGATTAATGATTCAAATGATAATTGAGAATAGAAATACAATAATTATTAAAAGGACTCATGTACTATCTTTTTCTCATAGATCAGTTACTTTTGCAATATCACAAAATTTTCAGGATATATACCTTGTTTCATTTTCTTTTTCTTGACTGGAATCTCATCCACGACAGTACACTCATTTTTCTCTTCAACATCCATCTTTTTCATCTCAATTTTAGTCCTTATAAAACATAATGAAAATTTAATGATATCATAAATAAATTATTCGGATAAAAATTTAAATAAACGAATAACATATTACACTTGCTGGTTTTATTATACCTAAATATATTATAATCCAAAACCCTTTCTACATCACATTTACTGAAATCTCGAATCTGTCAATGATCACTATAACCCCGTCAGGTGTCGGTCGAATTTAAGTAACACGAGGAACTAAAAATAAATGTATCCAATATGTGCAATAAATATAATTAACAAAATTCAAATATTATATACAAGTAAAAGAGTTATACAATTTACAAAATTACTTCAAAAAATAAAATAATCCAAAAGTCTATCACACCGCAATTATAACAAAATACGCGGGAAAATAAGGAAATGAAAAGAATGGAGATATAAACTTGGCGTTCACTAGGTAGACAACTCCAATACTCCAATATGGCTTCAATAGGGATCCCTAGTCTACCTATATAGTAATTAATCGCATCATACTATCGACTATTTAGTCGATAGTTTTTAGTCGACTGAAATTTCGCTTTCCGCACTCGAACACACTGGAACACACTGGAATAGGAAAACTATTGGCACTGGTTTGTTCTGTGATTCGTCTTAACTCGTCGTTGTAAATTTAGGAATTGCAAAATGTCTACGGTGAGAATTCCAATAATTATTAGGTCTATGAACATCTTAAAATTCAATTACGATAATTTATTTTTATGGTCAGATTAATCTATAAGATATGTATTGAAAATATCGTTTGACACATCTCATAACCTATAATTCACATCGAAGAGACGAAAATAAAGATGTTTTCCTTACGCGAACATCAAATTCGAAGTGATAATAAATATGAGATTTTAAATTTACATTACACTAATATATAAATGTTTCTGAGATAATGTAACATAATCATAGTAGGAAATATACTTGCTACGAAGATTGATATTTTTCATTTGTTTTATTAATTTTCTCATAACTTAAATCATGTGATATGTTTATTTAGCGACCTGATGATCATAGAAGAAAATGGAACAGAGAAGAATATGAAAGGATAGCGCTTCAGCGTCTTCAGGATGAGATAGCTGAAGAAGAGTTGGGAATACCAAAACAACCAGCTGTAAAAAGGGAGCTGCTCAAGCAACGAGATTATAAAGTCGATCTAGAATCTAAATTAGGAAAAAGTTTTGTTATCAATAAAAATACACCATCTTCGCAAACTGGAGGGTAAAAATAGATTTTGAAAAATCTTTGTTGGAACAATAAAAATATATAGATAATAATGTACTAAAAAATTCTTGCAGGTACTATTGCAATGTCTGTGATTGTGTTGTTAAGGATTCCATTAATTTCCTGGACCACATCAATGGCACAAAACGTAATTAACTAGATTTTATGATTTTTATACAGTACAATATATTAATTGCTTAAATTTTTTGTCCTGCAGATCAACGAAACCTGGGTATGTCAATGAAAATAGAACGTTCTACTCTAGATCAGGTCAAAGCTCGGTTCGCGATGAATAAAAAGAAATTAGAGGAAAAGAAGAAAGATTACGATTTAGAGCAAAGAGTGAAAGAATTAAAAGAAGAGGTTTGTTTTCTCTTTTTTAAATACATTCGTTAGCACGTCTGATTTATTATCGAATTGAACAGAATTATTTTTATTATCCACAGGAGGAAAAGATCAAGGAATACAGAAAAGAAAAGAGGAAAGACAAGAAGAGGAAAATCGAAGAAGCCAATGAGGACGCCGGTGGTCCTTCGGATGAAATGGCAGCGATAATGGGTTTCTCGGGTTTTGGATCCAAGAAAAAGTGACAATTACACGAAATGTCGGATTGTTTGTGAAACGATAAATGCCTTCTAAAGATACGATTTTAGAAAAGACTTTAATTTCGTGAGGAATACTTTGAATGCTGCAAGATCAGGGATAAATAAGACTGATCTTAATACACAAACTTAGCTTTGATATCGGTTAAGTTTTACATAATTTAATTTATTCCCTTTTCTTGTATGATCAATGTACAGGTAGCTCTGTACCCGTCGTAGTTAACTGTAATTAATTTTTAAACACAATGAAAGTATGCTGAATTAGTGAACGAAAGCACCGAATAATGGTGATTATACAGAGTAGTTTTGACCCTGTAAATTTTTGTCAATCTACATTTATTGCAAATTTAAAATAAGCTTTGTAAAGTATATTTACAGTTTTCTGGACCAGCAATGTAATCTATGTTACGTAAAAAAAATGTCTTATAAGTTTTCAATAAAAGTACAAGATTTTATACATGGAGGTTTATATTTTTTTATAAAATTACATTGATCCACAGAATATTACGTAATTCAAGAAAGAATAATGTATACATACTTTGAATATATAAATATTTTGTAAACATACACTAGCAGTAATTCATACAATTATATTTCTATTATGTGGTATCATTTAAAATCGACACGAGTCAATAAGGAAAGCGAGATTCGAGATTTTCGTCGAAACGAAAGTGGCCGCTGATCTTCCATCGTATTGTAATCATTTCTACAACTTTCTCTCTTGCACTTCCAGTCTATCGTTCTTTATCCGAGACACGGTGAAAAAAGGAGGACGAAAACCGTAAAGTTCCGCAGGACGCACACGTAGATACGCTTACGCGCTCACTTATACGTTCTCTCTTTCTCTTCTCTCACTCTTATCCAAAGTCGGAGGAGAGAAGGTATCGAGGAAGATTGAAACCGAGTATACCGTGCTCCTCCTACCTAGAGCTAAGCTCATGGGCCGTACACTTCGGTTCATCGTAGGCATCGGCATCGTAGTCCAGTGTAGTCGACACTCGTGGACGCTCCGTGGCCACGAGTGCCGCCATTTTTTTCGAAGGTCAATCCATTTGTAACCCAAGGACTTCAAGCTCGCAGTCATTGGAGGTCGTTCCTCCGCGAAGCGAACTAGTCTGCCCGTGATTTCTGATCAGCTGTACACGTACGCGTACATACTCGGTACACGTGGGTTGGTGGCACGTGCCAATTCGACGTTACGGACCATAACGCGTGAATTGTTTACGTTGAAAACTTATTCCGGGTTTCAGACTGTGTAAATAAATACGACGTCGATTGATAGAAATAATAAAAATTCTAGTTCTAATAAAAATTCGAGGATTTCGGTGCGATGATATAAAGCTCAGATAGAAAGTTACGCGCTTCGTGTTTCGAACTGCAAGAAAAATGTGACGTTTTGCGACAATCGTCGGAATGTCGGAAATCGAACGATCATCCTGACAGAGGACTTATCGTCTGGATGGACATCGATTAACATCTTCATGATCTTACGAATATCAGTGTTTGTGTACTATTATTTACTTGCGTAAAATCGAAAAGTTAAAGATGCCACGCGCTCTTCCACCGATCCAAGAATGCAACTCCGGAAAGTCAAGTAAGTTCATAAAAAGATGTACATCATTTCATCAATTGAAGAGATAAAAGTCATAGTGGTGTTGTAAGTCACTTTTCAGAACAAATGCGGTACAACTCTTAACGTGTATCTAAATCGTGCTGCTATCAACTTACAAGGAAGATGAGTTAAGACTTACTTCACGTTTTCTTTGGACGCATTAGCATTTGTAATCCGAGAAAGCAATGCAACTTGGTAAAGTGACTTACATCATTATGATTTTTACCACTTCAATTATTATCGTCATTATCGTTGCTGCTGACAAAACAAGGGTACATAATCATTTTATAATACATAAACTTCTTAAAAATTAACTTAAGGCGATTAACGAGTTACGTGAATCGTAGCATCAAAATTTCGTGTAAGACCATAAACACCTAATTAACATAAAAATACTAAGAGTAAAATATCGTGTGAAAGAGCGATACATCCGAGGGAAATTTTATGCAAACGGTTACACATAATTCAGATCATGCCGGGCGATTATTCATCGTTGTTTTCTCTCAAAGGGAACTGTCTTCCTCTTGCATTGCAAAACACAGATGGATTTCTGATTTTACGTATTGGATGCATACATACATTCGGTAAAGCACGGTTTCTTGTTCTGAAACGACGCGCACTTTCCCTTTTCTTTTCCACGGAAGTGAAAATGATCGGTCTACAGTGAATTCTATCCATTATACGCTGTTTGCTCGGCCGCCATTCTCGGCCGAGAGAACTCTTGTTTTCAGAAGTTTCTGTTCACTCGTGCGCGATCGTTCGCCACCATTCAATTCATCCGTCAAATCGCTTAACGCGTCCAGCAGAGTTTCTCGTCTGTATTAAATTTTTATGTGAAATCTACCTCTTATACTGCGGATTTGTATAAAAAATCAACTCAACTTGTTGATAGAAAAACGTGCGTATTTTTTCAGTAAAAATTAATTTAATTAAATAGCTAATCATCATTAATTTACAACAGGAAGATTCATTTTCTCATCATAATTATCATGTCAGAAGATATGGCTAATACAGTTTCTAATACTGAAACTGTTAATTCGAAAGCCTTTCGGTGTTTAGATAATTTTTAACAAGCGTCATTGAAGTCACGTTGGACGACGTCCTCGATCATTATATCGAGTTTCTCGTTCGCAAAACGAAAACGTCGTATGTAACAAGCAACACATAGAAATTATAATTCGTCTTCGTTCACTGACCTATCCTTCGTTCTTACCACTTGTACCGTGTTTGCGTTGCGACGGTTTTACTCGAGCTCATCTTCCAATCTCCTAAGCATGCTGTTGAATAGAGCACATCTTATTTTAATCCTGTTTTCATTAGCTAGTCGTTCTTCGTTCTTGTAACTAATAGAATACATGTACATATGTAGATATTGATTAAAGTATATTGAGTTTATTACTAGTAATTGTAAATTATAATTTCTCAACATTTTTACCAGAATTTTATTATACAGTCAATAAATAAATAATGTTCTATTTACTGTTCCTATTAAAAATCCATTGAACTTCGAAATTCATATGAAATGTGGATTAATGAAAAGGACTTCTGTTAGAAAGCGAGAATAATCATAAGTTTAAAGAGCGAGTGAAGGATTGTTTTTTGTCCTGTCAAAATTTGATCGAGGAAGAAAAGAGAAAGAGGTGGAGAAACCTCGCGCCGAATATCGAGGCTGAAAAGCTTTTGTTATCAAATAGAAAACGAGAATAACCATTACTAGCTTTAACAGAGCGGATCTACCGGCACACCGTCACGCTGCGATCTCAGCGTGGTCAGACGACGTGATTAAATCACAATTTTAATTGAATTACATGTTTTTAATTTCGAGTCATTTTTCCCAGTATAAATCTGGCTAAAGAACTAGTAAACAATGTTTGTCTAATAATGTGAAATTAGATAAGATCAAAAAATGAAAAGGGAGGACAATTTCATGATTTTATATATTTTATTACATATAAGAATTTAATATTGTATGTTTTCATGAATTGTTCAACATTTTTTGCCAATGATAATAATCGACAGAAGAGTAACGATTACCCTCATGGTGGAACAAATGAATAGTTGGCTAGAACGTGAGACCAACGTACTTACATTAACTTACTGGGACGTAAGGTTTACCCAGGTCGTGACGAGTAAAGCTGACGTCTGTTTAACTTTTTGAGGTAACAGTACCGTGACGTTGTAACATATGACCGGTAACTGTGTTGCAAGTTTCAAGAATCGCACGTCTCTTCAGATGACGCGCATTAGAATGGTTCAAAGGAGTTCCTTGAACCATTCAACTAACTCCCTTCTGACAAGTATATATATATTCGATGTACCTTTTGTAAATACTTATATTCTTATTCCAAAAGACATATTTAATTTTCGAAAATATAAATACTACAATTGTGTTACAACGAGAAATACTGAAGACACTCAAGGAAAAATTGTCCATGTGTTGATATTTAAAAATATCGTTTCGTTTTGACGTATCTTATCTTATTGATGAAAAAGAATTGTATTGCCATTTCTTAGGGGAAACGCACTTTTCATTAGACGCGATTTCTCGAACACCATGTGCAGCTCTTCTTCAGGATGATACGTGACTTTCTACAAAGGCCAACGTTTATCAATTTTTCTAGCGGTATACTACTGTCCAGCTATTTACGGACAGAGTCCGTGCTCGCCTAAAGCTAAACGCGGAAGAATTTGCCGTTGGAACATCGGAGTTGCCGGCCAGTGATTATCGAGCAGAATGCTTCGACCTCTAACACCTGTCGGCGTCTCGAGTCGGGTCTTTCTCTCAGGCAGCTTCACCTGTGAATAAAGGGTTTCGAACTTTTCTCAGCGCACGTTAGTCGCGCGCAGAAAAATGCCGAAGGAAGGGTTAACGGTCCTTTATCCGCAATTTTCTGATGACAGCAGTTGGTCTTTCATAGCGAAACACTTGAAGGCCCGCGTTAGCTGACACTGCAATTCCACCAATTTTACAATGACTAACAAACAGATAATAGATTATGGCTTATCGTCAGGTTTGATTGCAATGCTGATTGTAATTAGGGTGATGAGATGCAACGCCATGCTGGCAAGAGATACGTCGAGCAAATTAATGATTTATGGCCGTCGGTGTGTGCAAGTGGAACACATGGAGGGGAAGAGTTATGAGGTGTTCGTGAAATGAATTATTAAGGAATAATTTTACTGTAACTGATGTTATGATATATTATACGTTTGATGCGAGAATACTAACTAATTAGCTGTAAGAATTTTTCTTCTGTTCGCATCTATTGTTTTATGGAATATCTCATTTTAATTAGAAACTTCAAGTATTCGGTTTCATTTCTCGATTACATAAGAGGCAAACGTTCTTTCCTTTCCTTCTGAAGAATCTTTTGAGAAACAAAGTTACTTCGTGGAAATCATCTAATTTACGATTAGAGAATGGAAATGGTAAATCGTCTTGTAGGCTGTGAAACCTTTTTCGTCATCCTGGTCACGAACGAGAGCCAGATCCATGCGATCGACCTCCAGCCACCTCCACGTCGACGTTACATTGTTTCTGGTAAATTCAAAGCCAACGAACGACATTTACCTTTTGCAGCCGATCGGGTGCACTCGTCGTTGGCAACGGAAATCTCGAAACGCCGCGAGAGGTGAAACGAAAGTAATGTACTTAAAAGTGTCTGGTGTCTTCAAAGTTACAAAGTGAACAATTGTTTGTTTAAAATATGTATGATCTGTAATTAATTGAAGATTTGTTTGGGTGATACAAGTTTGAGTGTAATATAATTCAGGAATACGATAATTGTCGAAGATCTTAAGGGTGTCGAGGAAGTATGTATTACGTCCTAAGTTAATGAATGGTTAATGATCACTTGTGTTCTCCAAATGGTGGCACGTGCAGGTCACACCCAAAGGTATTTCAATAAGCGGCTTGAGATTATCGATCCTCGAATATGTTCGTCACGAATTGAGCGTGACATCCGGCGAGCCTGATCACCTAGATCGTAACCGAAACACCTGACCATGGTGGCCGAACTGACGGACATTCCCGTTGCAAGCGCAGAACGAAAAACACCTACAGCTGATCCCGGAACCGCCGTTAAACCGAGGAACAGGCCGAAGTGGATCCAAACCGCGACTCGCGAGCCGATTTACAGCGTTCTCGACGGCGAGAAGCCGGACAGTAACAATTTGCCGACGGGTTTCAACGTGGTGGTGATAAGCGCGGTGAAAAGTGACAAAGCGAAAAGAGACGATTCGGAGGCGTTTCAAGTCGAACAGACAAAAGTTCCGTATCATCTTCCCCAAGTGACGGATAATAGTAAATTAACTTCTCAGAACTCGATACAAGAGATCGAAGATGAGGATCCTCTGTACAGCGTCGTGAAGAAGCCTAAGAAAGTTCAATTGAGTGAAACGGCAGACCTCATCGAGAGGAAGGATCCTCGACCGGTCGAGGATCGATTACAGCCGGAGAGCCGTTCGCGACAAGAGGAACTTCGTCGGTGGCTGCAAATAGCGTCGAAGCAGCTACCGGAACCGCGACGCCTCTTCAATCTCAGCGAAATGTACACTAACCACTTGGGAGAGTTCGATCAGGCCGACTGGAAGAGAAACGTAGCGATGCCTCATGGAATCGTTGGTCTGGTAGGACCTTACCGAGTCTATCAGAATCCTAACGAAAGGCGGGAGTACATGCTGCAGGAGGAAGAGCTGGTCGAGGAAGTGGTCGATTCCGTCAGTGAAATCGCGGCTCGTGAGAACATCGAGCATCACCAAAGAGCGAAATGGCGGATACGGGAGGAAGATGAGGAGACTCTTGTTCCCGATATTCGAAATATTCCCGGACTTGAGGATTTCGCCGCTGAAGACAACAAAGAGTCCGAATGGAAGAAAGTGGACGATCGATCGACGATCGGCTATGGTAAAAGCGATGAGGCGTCGGAATTGAAGGAGCAAGATGTGTACAAGCCAGATATTAATGGAATTGTATCTGGCAAAGAAGAACGAGCCGTGGACGTTCCCGAAGAGGTTTCGACTACGTCCACGTCTTCAATGAAAGAGAAGAAGGGTGAGAGATCCATCTTGTTCCGTTAATAGCGACCTGAATGTACTTTCGCCCGGGGGAAATCTGTTTTTAATGATGCTCAAGCGATAGATCCTGTTGCGGTGAGAACGACACGGAGTCGGTGAATACATTGGGATACGTTCCGAAATCTTTCCTTGCTTCTATTCAGAGTTCAGAATTTATTTCGTACTAATCCATGATTTTAATCCGATCGTACTTACTGTGATCGGCTATCGCGAAGCAGGTATAACTTTGCGGTCACACAGTTCTGAGCAACACGGTTTAGTTTATTAAAGGTACATCGTACTGATTTGTATGCAACTCGTTCGTTAGTCGTACGGTATCGCGTCTGCTGAAAGAGACAGGTAGCGGTAGATCACGACGTGGTTTCACGCGTATAACGCGCCTGATTCTATCGATACGTGCAAAGTGTCCCTTATTAGCGACCAATATTCTCGTTTCCAGCCTGTGATATCTGACCCGTGGCATTAGTTAACGGTACACCGTTGACACATAGACCCATTTCATTTTTATACTTATCTCATTCGATAGATCTATTCGACAGATTCGCTTGATTACTTCGCAGAATTTTTCCGATTACTTAAACAAACAGTTTCCATCGGGCATTCATCATCTGCGAGGGAGAATCGCCGGGCAATCAGCCGACATCTTCATTATTAAAACACATGACGCTATGAATCATTTCAGCAGACTTCTTTCGCCGATCGTCGCTGAACAAACCAGCATTTCCCAGCAACAAACCGCAAGATCGATTAATATCTTAGTCATTAAAACATACATGCTTATAAATCATTTCGCCGCATCTCTTCTCGGTTTTGAATTAACTCATCTCACGCTGCGTGGGTGAGCTAACGAGGAAATTTTCGCTTTAACCAACCAAGCACTTCTAGTGCCACGACCTACAGTACACTGGGAATGCTGTAATTATCATACACATATCTACATTATAGAATGTCGTGACGATGACCGCGAACTTTTATACAAAATTGAACTTTTATAGTATCAATTTGAGTAATGAAGTTTGAAAACAAATTGCATTTATCCTTTAAAAATTGTTATGTGCATTTTGCTGTTATTTTACATTCTTTATGTCTGATTACATCTTATAATTATATAAAATCCTCTATTTAATGATAATTCACGGGGCACAGCAATGACTTTTCAACTTATGCAAAAACTTCTCGAATCTATTAACCCTCCAGCTGCGACTTATGCCATTTTTATGTTGTCAGCGATTGAAGTCGCACATTTCAATCTCCCACCGCAAAATACGGCAGTCATCGAATTTTCGTTATGACGGCAATTCCATTTGAATGTATGTACTTACACACGTACACAAACGGGTCTCATGGATCTCACAGTCCTATTACTTTTTGCGGTAATGAATAGACGACTACGGTTCAACTTTCGCTGTTTTTGTCCTTTACTAATTTGCTGCTCGTCGCAGTAGATCGTTGATCACTGAATTCGATGAATTTTCATGTAGAATAATTGACTTAACGATTTCCTGTCTTATCGGAAACACTAATTAATTGTTTAGTTTCACAAACTTTCCTTTCATGTACTAATTTACACTACCAAATAATAAAAAGTGAAAAATTATTCAGTTACTAGAAGCATATAAAAGTTAGGTTTCGTTTCTTCTTTTTATTAATAAGATACAAGGATTGATTTGACCATTTTGCTATCGGTCCAGCAATTTACCAATTATTGCCATTTTTATACATGTAATCGATTTGTGGATTTAAATGTCTTCATTTTATTATTAGCATACAAGTACTGGTTTGATCATTTTTATGTCGGTCGAGCAATTTACCAATCATTGTCACTTTTGTATACACGGTCGGTTTAATCTTATGGATTCGAATTCTTGGATTTGGGTCATGACGATTTCGTGACAAGTACACATCTGCTAACGACGTGAATTCTGAATAATCCGCGCGATTTCGTTTTACGGAAAAGAAAGTCCCGGCGTTCTTTTTGAACAGATGATACGTACGTTGTCTCCAACCCTTTACTTTCTCGTTCCACTTGGTTCTCAGGGAGATAGTTAATCAATCATACGGAAGTCGCACCGACCCGTCGAACATATGGCGTCGGCATTATCGCCACTCCGACAAAGACTGTCGATTCTGTTACACATTAACGCTTGCTGCGACCATGGCAGTTGGCATGAGACTTAAATCTCCGTACCGGCAATTTCTGTAACTGACCGCCTTGGTTTGGTACAGTTATCCACTTTTGCTACACGGCGATCGCCTATTGCTTTCGAGAAGCAGACCGATATAATTGCACTGGCGCGTGAGAAGCTCAAAGAAAAAGCGTCTGTATGGTAGAAGCGCCGTTTCCATACAGAAAGGTTCTTGTAGATTCTTTTTTGCACGAATAGATGATAAATCTTTTGCTCAAATTATAAGTGTAGACAATAATATACGTATGCAAATTTTTACATTCTTAACAATATTGTGTTCGGTTGAAGTTCCAGTGTGAATGTCTGTGTCGATAAATGTTAATGGAATGTATATCATTTCTATAAGACAAGAAGGAAAATGAATGACAGTTACGAAGAGTTTGAGGAAAATAGAAATTTTATAAAATTGTACAAGCCACCACGTGCTTGAATATGCAAATTATTCTACAGAATATTGTATTTATGTACAGACGATGCTCCTTCAATCTTAAAATTGCAAACAAGAGGATCTTATTTCAAGATACGTCTTATCTAGGAAAGAGCTAAACTTTTTATTATTTTCCGTAAGTCATCAATTTTTCGAACAGGCGTATATATTTTCCTTTAAGCACCATTGCGTACCGGTTTCGCAAGCCTCGTGAACATCCAGGGTTATTAAAGAAAAAGTTATACTTCCTACATTTACACTTATTTTGCAGAGAATAACGCATAGAGTAACTGTTGGTTGCCATTTAAAACGCGCGACATTTAACGCTGCAGATGCTGCGAACGTAATTGTTTTTACGTTCTTTAACGTCGTAAATTAGAAATGTTACGCATGCCTCTGCTTCCCATATGTCGTATAGGTCAGGGGTCGATTTCGAATCCAATAGGTGAAATGCTTTAATTGGAAAGTATGTGCGAGGAATATTTAAATGAAAATTACACACGTGAAAGTATTTTTCATCATAAATTTTGACTTATACATTGTTCTTTATATTTAGTTGATAGCGAAATCATGCTTAGTTGACAAGTAGAAATAGGGACATTTACCTTACTGATTATATATTAAAATAAAATGGTAAGCTAATAATCGAAATATAATGATCTCACAATTCTGTGTGATACTGTATAAATTATTGTCATTTAAATTAACTTAAGACTTCTCACAATTGTATACAGTAATATTTATAATTACGACATGAAATGTATATAACAGAAAGACAACAGAGAGCAACTGTATTTAATCTTGAAAATTTTGCATTAAACTTGGTACTTGGCATTTTAAATTCCAAGTCACGTAAAACTGCGGTGCGAACATCGTGAAAGCAAAGAAGAAAACGAGGTGAAAGGTATCCAAGGAAAATGTCCTTGGTACATGCATATGAACGTACGCGGAACGTAATTTTTCGCTTCGAAATTGCATTGAAACGCTTGTTTCCCGTGGACAACGACAAATCGTCTTGCGAATAGTTGCGAGACGTTCGACGCGACTCACGTGAAAGCAGATTGGTCGCATCGCCAAGTGCCAAGCCGGCGCGTGTTGGCGTCGAAGCCTGTCCGTCTACCGTGTGCATATACATACATACATCTGCATACATATAGTGCATAGGTACAGTTGTTTTGCCCGTTCGAACTTTCATGAATTTTCGTCCCGAAAGCGCGCACACTTATACACGCTCATAATAATCATACGCAGGCATAAATCGTGATACATTCACACAGAATCGTGTTCCCTTAGATAAGAAGTTAATATTTAATCTTGTCTCCTGTCACATTTTATTTTATTCAGTCATAAACACACTAAATGTATTGAGCGTTGAGCGAAATGATATTAGTTTCCTATTTAGAGGAACGCATGCCAACGTGAATGTACCGCAATTTGTTTATGTCTATGTGGGTCCAGAATGAGAATACACACGTTTGGATCGCTTTCGTGTTCCAACAAAACCGGTTAAGCGCTGAAAATGAATTTCGGGCACGATTTCACGCGATCGAAACTCGTTCCTCTTCTATCACGGCTGTCGTTATTATCTTAGATCGTACGCTCTTTGAACTTCGCTTTCTTCCCTTTCTTCTATTCCCAGCGCGCAGCGGCATGTCTCAATTAAATGTGTATGGAGTTAAATCGGTGCCCGCTTCTCTCTAGCGACCACGGATCCGTTCAGTTTCATGCGCCGTAAAATGAGTCGATTAGTCTCGCATGGTTGAACTATGCAGAAAAAGAGAAAAAGAAATATGCATCGGCGCGGGAGCGTTATCACCGTCATTCCTTTCAAGGAACACGTAATTCGCGAAGATAAAATCAGCCCGGGAAGCTGAAACAACGTTTTATGAGTCTGGCAAACGAGACTTTCTGCTACTGTCTGTATTAGGTTGATACTGTTCCATCCTACGTAATCATCTATCACTAAACGGATTTATAGGAAGTCAACTGTATAAGAATGCAAATAATGTGCAAAAGCAGTTGAGGTACCATTTGAAGAGCAAAAGAAAGTTTTGATTGGGCATTCATTTTTAAAATAATACTGCAAATGTTTTATTTTTCCTAAACAATTGTAGCCAAATCACTAATCGTTGGCAACAAAATTGAGTGCACAGAATTATCGCCTAACTTCCTTAAAGTTTCTAATATATGAAGAACAATTTTTTAGTACAGACGTGACTCATCTCGCTTCTACCAGTTTCTAGTTCATAGTCGACGTTTAACAAGAAATTTTTCAGTTATTCTATTTTTGATTTAAAAATGTTAAACGATCCAAAAAATCTTCATTGTTCACAAAATTAAAAGTGCATCCAAGAAAAATAGTCG